GGATGGATGGATGGATACATGGATATAGATTAGATGGATAGATAGGTAGATAGATAGAGATAGATAGATAGATAGATAGATAGATAGATAGATAGATAGATAGATAGATAGATAGAGATGGATGGAGATAGACAGATAACAGGTGGTTGAATAAATAAATAGATAGATGGATGGATACCCTCTCTTTGATAGATGGATAGATAGATTGACATAGAGATAGATTAGATGGATAGATAGATAAATAGACAGACAGACAGACAGATTAGATTAGATAAACAAGAGAGAGAAATACATCCTCCGTGGATGGATGGATAGATGGATGGATACCCTCTCTTTGATAGATGGATGGATAGATCGATATAGAGATAGATTAGATGGATGGATAGATAGATAGATAGATAGATAGATAGATAGATAGATAGATAGACAGACAGAGACAGACAGACAGATTAGATTAGATAAACAAGAGAGAGAAATACATCCTCCTTGGATGGATGGATAGATGGATGGATACCCTCTCTTTGATAGATGGATGGATAGATCGATATAGAGATAGATTAGATGGATGGATAGATAGATAGATAGATAGATAGATAGATAGATAGACAGACAGAGACAGACAGACAGATTAGATTAGATAAACAAGAGAGAGAAATACATCCTCCTTGGATGGATGGATAGATGGATGGATACCCTCTCTTTGATAGATGGATGGATAGATCGATATAGAGATAGACAGACAGACCGACAGACATCCTTTACTGGATGGATGGATGGTCAGACTCCCCCCCCCCGCAAGGAAGCCCACCAGCCCCATCTCCTTCCTGGATGGGGAGCGGGAGGGCGGGCAGGTCCCCCCCCTTTCTTCCTTGGTTTCACGGAGCGGGGCGGGCGTGGGGGGGGGGGACGCGGCGGCTGCGTGGATTGCAGACTCGCATCGCCGGGAGCGGAGCGTGGCAGGGCGGGGGGAGAGGCGATGAAGCTGTGATCCCGCCCGGCGTTGGAGAACCAGCCGCGGCGGTCGGGCTCGATGGTGGGGTCTCCATCCGACGCGAGCGGCGGATGCTGAGTGAGGACCCGCCGCAGGGGAGAAAAGGGGGGGGCTGGGAGGCGCGGGGGGGCGGGGGGGATGGAAGAGGCGGACGAAGCGGGGGCGGCAGACCCCCCCCAACCCTGTTGGGGAGGGAGGGGGCCGGCCAGGGGCAGCCTGGCACAGCTGGGTCCCCCCCCCACTCTTCCTAATCCCGGACCGTATGAAATTCTGGGGGGCTCTGCACCCCAAATCCCCCCCCCTTTCCGCAGAGGTTCACCCACCCACCCATTACAGCTCTCCCGGTTGGTCCCTTCGCTCCCCCCGCGCTGAATCTGACGGGGGGGGGGCAAACAGGCATTGTCCTAATCCACCTCCCCATTTCTGCCCCCCAATATTGGGGAGGGGGGAACCGTCTTCTCTGTCGCGTCTCTCTAGACGTCCAAGGGGGCTTCAGGATCGCTCCCCAGGATCCCAACTGCTGCCCCCCCCATCAAACTGTCCTGCTTGGCCAAGAATTACTAAACCTAACATCCATTTACATCTCCCCCCCCCCAAAAAAAAGAGGGATGCTGTGAGTGATGACTCTGAATTTCTTCTGTTGTCTTCTTCCCTTCCGCCTTTTCACGCCTCTGTTCCTTAATCCGGGCACCCCGATCTCTCCAGGGGACCCTGGATGCTTCTCTCGCCCACCCCAATATTTTGAGCCCCCCAATTTCAGCCCTCCCTGGCTCTCCCTCCCTCCCCGACCCTCAAAAAGCCGTGGATTTGTCTGTGTTTACTTCTGGGGTCGCAGGCGCAGGGAACAGACGCCTGGATTAATGGCCGTGGGTCGGTCCCCCAATTCAGCCCCCTCCTCCTTATCCCCATAGCCGCCCTCTCCTTCCCCAAACCTGGACGCTTCCCTTAGAAGTTCCCCCCCCCGCACCGGCTGCGTTCACACAACCTGCGTAACCCGGCTAGTAGAACCATCCATTTTCTGACTTGCAAAAAGACCACCGCCTTCGGCTCAACAAATGGGCTGGGCTTGCAAAGTCCCCTTTGACCCAAGCAAACTTGGCTGGTTGTGTGAATGCACCTGTTTACGGATGCCCTGACCTGGATCAATGGTATGCTGTGAGGTCAGCGGCAGGATTTCAGACTGGGATAAACATGCTGGCTAGTGGATCAGCCATCTCAGATCTGATCCAGACAAGTTGTCTCTAAGCAGCCCCGGAGAAGAACCAAATTTAAGCCTTGAACCCGAGCCGGATTCTCCCATCTATCTGTTTCCTGAGGGGTGGGTTTTTAATTTTCTTTTAATTTTTGGCACAGTATGAAACAGGGTGATCTTTGCTTTTTATTATTATTATTTCCTCCCGAGGACTGTTTTTGTGTTTTTTTTTTGACTTCCCCATTTAGCTTTACCTGTTGGTCTTCCATTCAAATGCTAATCAGATTTGATTTTTTTTTTCAGCAGCAAAATCCACTCAGGTAGAAGATTGTTTTCTTTGTTTTTTTAGAAAGAACACAGAATCTCTCTTGAAGCTTACAGGCTCCTTGGAGATATATTCTGCACATGCTCCAGAGCACTTTTATTTTTATGGCTCCTTTATATAGTTGAATGATTGATTGATGATTGATGGATCGATTGACGGACTAGGTGTCATGGAGTCCTTTTGGAACTCTTAGTGATAGATTTCATTCCGGAATTTTAATCTGGACTTGGATAGATTCCATTCGGGAATTTTAATCTGTCCACCCATGCAAACTGAGATTTAATTAAAAACTTCCGGTGTCCCTTTGCTATGTAGAAAATATTGTTAAAAGTCCTTTTGATCAGGATTTTCTGGACAGCTTCATTGGGGTTTTTTTCCTAATTTGGGGTTCCCCTAATCCCCACAAACCAGAGTTCCCACAGGCCTTCAGTTCCCCCAAAGTGATGCTCATCCTGGATCCCAAGAAAGGAAGAAAAAAAATGACCTGTCTTTAGTCTAAATTGATTTGGAGGGAGGGAAAGAAAATAAATCCTTGCCTTGAACTGCATTTGCAGGAAAGCCAGCCTATCCTCAGGTGCAGATTGTGTGGCCTGGGGTTGTTGTTAGGAGTGGGGGGAAAGGGGCCAAAAGGCAGCAGTTTGTAATCGAGGCAAATATTTATTTTATTTTATTTTTCTCTTCATCTTTGGTGAAGCGTTGGGGCTTGAACAGGTAAAATTGCCAGTGATAATGCAAACAGGAAAACGCGCTTGTGTGCAGATGATTTTTAGATTCCTTTTGGATCCCTTGTGGGCTGCATTCTCACGACACCCTAGGTCAGGGGTAGGCAACCTTGGCTCTTTTAGGACTCGTGGACTTCAACTCCCAGAATTCCTGAGCCAGCCATGCTGAGGGGAAAGGGAGAGGTTTCCATGCTGAGCCAGGCTGGCTCAGGAATTCTGGGAGTTGAAGTCCACGAGTCATGAAGGGGCCATAATTCCCCCATGCTGGCTCAGGAATTCTGGGAGTTGAAGTCCACGAGTCATAAAAGAGCCAAGGTTGCCTACCTCTGCCCTAGGTAATCTAAGGTAATCTAAGATAATGGTTGTTAACCAGCTTCTCGCAGCACACGGATGTGCCATGAGTTTGTATGCAGTGTGCCAGGAGACTTTTGATGGGTTGGGGTTTTTTTTGTATTATGTATATCTTGTATTATATAAGGCAGTCCTCAATTGAGCCCCGCTAAGTGAGTCAGATGTTAAGTGAATTTGCCCCATTTTACGACCTGTCTTGCCACAGTTGTTAAGTGAATCACTGCAGTTAAGTTAGTAATGTGGTTGTGAAGTGACTCCAGCTTTCCCATGGACTTGTCAGAAAGTAGCAAAAGGGGATCATGGGACGGTCGTAAGTATGAGTCAGTTGCCAAGCATCTGAATTTTGATCATGTGACCACAGGGGGAGGAGGCTCTGCAACCGTCGTAAGTGTGAAAAATGGCCTTAAGTCACTTTTTTCAGTGCTGTTGTAAACAAACTGTGATAAGTTGAGACTTCAGCACAGGGTTGGTATTCTTAGAAGATGTATATCCTCAAACTATGCCTTACAGGTTGAAAAATACATCTGTACGATTAATCATTTTCCCTAGAATTAATATTATATTCAGTTATTGTGCTGTAGATTCAGAAAGATTGAGGGTTTCAGACTTGTGCAAATTTCGCTTCTGTGGTTAGTGGATGCTGTAGTTGTATGTAATCCCAAACCGGAATGCGAGATTAATCCCATAAACCACAATTAAGTAAACGACTGGTAAATAGGTCACGGCAATCTAACCAGCTTTTGCTTTTCACGTTTGGAAAACATTAGTATGAATCAGTAGCTATTAATCTGGGTGGAGGAGGTTTTATTTGGCTGGAATTATTGGTATGATTTGCATAAATGTGTGGTAATTTAATGATTTTGCTCAGCCCAACAGCTAGAATCCCAGTTATTTAATCCTTTATAGTTCCTTCCTGTCCCCCTGGCTCCAAATCATAAAATAAAGCGGTGTTTGTCGGCAAGGAGAAATTTTCCAGCCACAAAATAAACATGAGTCTAATGTTAAGGGAAGGCCCAGCTACCAATTTGGGGATCTGTAAATCAAAAGGTAATAAGAACAAACAGAGTTCAGGATCCTAGCAAGCAAACAATGACGGTTTGGTTCCGTTGCTTTGTGGCTGTGTTTCCCCCCCTCCCCGAAAAATAGAATAGAATAGAATAGAATAGCTTTATTGTCATTGTGTAACTCACAACGAAATTAAGTATGTGAGACAGACGCTGATATTTTCTCTGTATTCTGCAATCTGTGCAGAAAAATTTGAGTAACTAAAATCACCTAGCTGGTGCAAAGCCATTTACGTTCTGCGTGTTCTCGTTGTGTTCCAGATTGGAGGGGGAGGAGGAGTGTAAATGCAAAAAAGTGTGGCCCTTTGCAAAATCTACATTCTGTTTTCTTAAACTTGGGGGTTAAGGAAAGGTGGGAAAAAATTTTCTGCGGGTGTGAGGGCACACCGCAGCTGGGTGCAAACAACCTGCAGTTTTGTGCCCGAATTCAGCCGTCGTTCAGAACAGCAACCCATTGCAAAGCACCCAGCCATCCAAGCAGACTCACTCACACTATACTCAAAGCCAGCAAACAAACAAACAAACAAAAGCCAGGAAACAAACAAACAAACAAAAATACAAAACACCCAGGTCCAAAACTCTCCAGCTCTGTGTGAATGCAAAGCCGTTTAGATCTTTCGCTCGGTTGCTTAAGTCGTGTGAAGCCAGGAAAAAAAGATGCAGGTTTTGACAAAGTGAGCCCAGATCCAGAACAAGAGGTGGTTGAATTTATTTTATTTTTTTTTCTATTATTATTTTTTTAATGTTTTGAAGCCTCTAACTGCTTCCTTTTCTGGTGGAGACCAGGATAGAGAAGAGGATGTTGCCTTGGCAACAGAGACATTAAATATCTGAAATGCTGCCGTAGTAACAGTGCGGAGGTAGTTTAGGACTGTCGCCATGGCAACTTTCTGGACTGGGAAGAACCCTTTGAAACCCCGAGATTCTAAATGTGTTTACAATCCTTAGAGGGCGAAGAAAGGAAAAAAAAAAAAATTCAATATCGCAAATCAACAAAGCCATGCACAGACGGGAAGAATTGCTTGGCGGTGACATGACGCCCGGTCTTCGTGAGCTTCTGAGCATGTCTAGAGCACCAAGCTAGGCCGGGCTGCTCTCTGAATCCCCGGGAGTAAATTTCGGTCCAGCTCAACAGATAACCTCGCCTTACAACCACAGATGGGGCCAGAATTTCCGTCGCTAAGCGAGGCAGTGGTTTAAGTCAGGTGCGCCGGGTTTTATGGTTCATTTATGTATTTATTTATTTATTTTTGCCACGGTCGTTAAGCGAGTCAACCCCAGCTATTGTGTGAATGACGCAGTGGTGAGGGTTAGGGTTAGGGTCCTCCCGACGATTTTGCTTGTCGGAGGGAAAGGTTGCAGGTTGGCCCAGGGCCCGAATGTTTTGATCGTGGGACCGTGTGGGGATGCTGTGACGGTCGTAAGTGCGAGGAATGGTGGGGGTTTTTTTCACTAAATGGACGGTTGCAAGTTGGGGGTCACCGGAAGAGGTTTGGATTCAAACTACCTGGGTTTTGTGTTCAGAAAGATGCCAGGTTAGATGAGGATAAGGCCCGAGTTCAAATCCTCCTACAGCTACGAAAATCCCTGGAGGGGGGGATTCTGGGGCAATACCTCTCTCTCAGCCTACCTTTCAGGGGTGTTGTTGTGCAAGGACAAACTATATTTTCTGCTGTGCTAAGATAAAAGTGCTTAGGGTCTAAAAAGATTAACATCTGACCTTTGGCTAATCCTGAATCGCTAAACCAGGCCAAAGCTGGTTGATATTTGGATGGAAGACCACCAGAAAAAAGCAGATTGGGAAGTCCAAAAATTTATTTCCAGTGTCCAAGTCAGTGTCCAAGTCAGCTGTCAATTCTCAACCTTGACAGCTTTAAGATGGGTGGACTTCAACTCCCAGAATTCCCCAGCCAGTATGGCTGGCTGCAGAATTCGGGGTGTTGAAGTCCACCCATCTCAAAGCAAGCTGACTGGGCAATTCTGGGAGTTGAACTTCACTCACCTTAAAGAAAGATGACTGGAGAATTCTGGGAGTTGAAGTCCACCCATCTTAAAGTCAAGAAACACCTCCAGATTGTCCCCGGGAGCTGATCCAGACTGGCCTTCAGTCCTATATAAACAGAATGACCAGAACCACAGGCTCAGCTAGGAATATTTTTTTTTTAAAAAAGCTGCCTTAAAAGAGAACAGTGCTGCATCACTTCCCCATGATTGATTACCAAATTTACCTTGCGAAGTTGCAAACCACGTTCCTTTGTTTTATTCCTTTCTTTTTTGTCTTTTCTCTGCGCCAAACCGGACCTTTTCCAGAGTCGAACTGCAGCCAGACTTTAAAGCATAAGAAAGTTTGTCCCCCCCTGAACTTCTAGTTAAAATAGCTGCATTCTCCTCCCGATTCACACAACTCTTTTTTCCCCCCTAGGATGGTTCTAGAAGGAAGCACTGAAGCTGTGAGTTCTCATTCGCTTGATTTGCGACGGACCTGTGCCCAGAATGGGCGTTTTTACCCTTCGGCAGGGGACAGTCTCCTGTTAACCAAAAAACCGGTGAAGTACGGGGAATTGATTGTCCTGGGGTAAGTGAAACCATTTTTCCTAGTTTTTTCTAAGTGACTGGAGGATAAAGCGAACAGTTGTAGGAACTGGGAATATGTCTAACCTAATGGAAAGAAGGACTGTGTGTGTGTGTGACATGTTAGCAGTGTTCCAGTATTTGAGGGGCTGCCACGAAGAAGGGAGGGGGGGTCACCTATTCTCCAAAGCACAAGAAGGCAGGATAAGAAGCAACTAGCCAAGGAGAGAAGCAACCTGGAACTAAGGAGAAACTTCCTAACCAGGAGGACAATTAACCAGTGGAACAGCTTGCCCCCAGAAGTTGTGGTTGCTCCATCCCTGCAGGATTTTAAGAAGAGACTGGACAGCCACTTGTCTGGAATGGTACAGAGTCTCCTGCTTGAGCACGGGGTTGGACTAGATGACCTCCGAGATCCTTTCAACTCTGTTATTCTATGTTGGTTTCAAACATCTCCACTGTGGCATATTTAAGTTAGAGGAAACTTTGCAAGGCAGGTTTTTGCTTCCTAGCCTCGCCGTGTCTCTTTTGCAAAAGGTGTGTTAGGCTCAGTGCGATGCGCAAATTGTGATGGGGCAGACCAGTTGCACAATACAGAATTGTGCGGTATTCCAGGTGGGAGACAAGAGAACTAAAAAAGACTTCCACAGGTAGAGATTTCGACTTTCACAGCCCAGGAGACCAAGAGGAGCTTTTGTAACTCCGGGTTGGACTAGATGACCTCCCAGGTCCCTTCCAATAACTGTTATTCTGTTACTCTGTCTCCCCCACAATGCAGGTACAATGGCTCTCTGCCTAATGGAGACAAGGGGCGTCACCGGAGCCGTCTGGCCCTCTACAAGAGACCCAAACCCAATGGGGTTAAACCTGACATTATCCACCATATCTCCACCCCACTTATGTCCAAAGTAAGTCGAAGGACTCTTCCTGGTTGCAGATATGTCCCTCCCCCCCTCCCCGCAATGGGATTGCCAGGCCTCACTGTGGAGCTGTTTAAATCTCAGACTGTGCAAAAAGAGGGATTCTGAGCATGTGCAAAGTTCCTTTCCCGCCCCATCCAGAACCACCTCGCTGGCTCTGAATGGGGAATATAATCAGAATTACAGGTAATGCTCAACGTACAATAGTTCATTTAGCGACCGAAAATTAGAACAGCCCTGAAAAAAGCCATTTAGGACCGTTTTTTCACACTTAACGGCGGTTGCAGAGTCCCCCGTGGTCAGGCGATCAAAATTCGGACGCTTGGCAACTGACTCATATTTATGATGGTCACGCGATCCCCTTTTGTGACCGTCTGACAGGCAGAGTTGACGGGGGGGGGGGGGAACCGGATTCACTTAACAACCGTGTTGCTCGCTTCAGAACTGCAGTCATTCACTTAACAACTGTGGCGAGAAAGGTCGTAAAATGAGGCGAAACTCACTGGTCTCACTTAACAACAGAAATTTTGGGCTCGGCTGTAGTCGTAAATCGAGGACTACCTATGCTAGGAGGACGGTAAAACTCAGGGCTTTGTCCTTCCCCAAAAGACAAAGAAAATGGGCAGGGGGGGAAGAGCAGATAGTGGGGAGCTTCCGCCATTTTGCTTTCTGTTCTGTTGCTACCGTGTGATTCACTTAACAACTTAAGAAATACGGCACAAAAAAAAAAATAAACCAGTTGTAAAATTGGGCGTGATTCACTTTAACATCCGCTTCCACTTAGCAAAGGAAATTCTGGCCACACGCGTCGTAACTCGAGGACTGACTGTATTCCAACTTTTTCCTTGTCTGCTCCGACAGGCGTTGAGCGACAGGGGTCAACACAGCATCTCCTACACACTCTCCCGAAGCCATTCGGTCATTGTGGAATACACTCAAGATGGCGAGACGGACATGTTCCAGGTACTTAACGTGTCCGGCGGAGGGAGCGAACACCTTTGCTGGCCCTCCAGAGATGACCTGATGGAGGACAGACCAAGGGGAAGCTGTTTAGGCCCTATCAAAAGGCAAATTTGGGGGGGAGAATCACAGTAGCCTGGGTGGCACAATGGCTTAGTGCAGGGGTAGGCAACCTTGGCTCTTTGACGACTCGTGGACTTCAACTCCCAGAATTCCTGAGCCAGCCATGCTGAGGGGAAAGGGAGAGGTTTCCAAGCTGAGCCAGGCTGGCTCAGGAATTCTGGGAGTTGAAGTCCATGAGTCATGAGGGAGCCAAAGTTTCCCTCATGCTGGCTCAGGAATTCTGGGAGTTGAAGTCCACGAGTCATAAAAGAGCCAAGGTTTTGCCTACCCCTGGCTTAGTGGTTAAAGAGACTGAGCTTGTCCGCTGTTCAGGTTCGAGACCCGAGCATCACATCACGGGGCGAGTTCCCGTCTTCACCTCAGCTCCTTGCAGACAGCTGGTCATTTGCATCCTTTTAGAGAATCGTTGAGGCCACTTGGAAGTTTATCTGTGTCCTCAGTTGTCCCAAAGGTGCTTTTTCAGGAGGCAGCTGGATTTCCTTGCTTTTCTTTGAAGGCGTTTCGCTTCTCCTCCAAGAAGCTTCTTCAATTCTGACTGGATTGTGGGGAACGGAAGCATTTATACTCCTTGCAGACTGCTGGTCATTTGCCTTCTTTTAGAAGGTCGTTGAGGCTACTTTGGAGTTTGTCTGTGTCCTCGGGGTTTGACTACAGTGCTGATTTTAACTTAAATAAAAATCGGTCTTTTGGAGAGAAGGAAAAATGTCCACAGGATGAAAAAGGAAAAACACTCAGTTCGCGTTAAAAGTTTTAGTCCTTGATCGTGTCTCCTCACCCCGTCTCTCTGTTCCCAGATCGGCCGCTCGACGGAGAGCATGATCGATTTTGTGGTGACTGACACCACGCCGGGGACAAACTCCTCCGTGGATGGACAGACGGCCCAAAGTACTATATCCCGCTTTGCCTGCCGCGTCATCTGTGAAAGGAACCCTCCGTACACCGCCCGGATTTACGCTGCCGGGTTCGACGCGTCCCGCAACATTTTCCTTGGAGTGAGTGAGTCACCGAGCAGCTCTGTGTGTGTGTGTGTATGTTGTGTGAACGTGCGCACACCTGTGCATGCATGTTGGCATAGATGCATTCGCACAATACGTTAACCCCGGTTCCTGAATGGATCCCTTTTCTGGCAGGAGAGAGCCGCGAAATGGAGGACTCCTGATGGGCTCATGGATGGCTTGACCACGAATGGCGTACTGGTGATGCACCCCAATGGCGGTTTTAGCGAAGACTCCACCCCGGGGGTCTGGCGGGAGATCTCGGTGTGCGGGAACGTCTATGCCCTGCGGGACAGTCGCTCAGCACAGCAACGGGGAAAGCTGGTAGGTGGGCAACACAATGGAGAGAGACGAGCAAAGCGGACTGGAACTCGAGAAGAACAGAAACAGAACCGAAACAGAAACAAGAATAGAATAGAATAATACCAGAATAGAATAATACTGGAGTAGGAATGGAATGGCGCATCAAATGTGGCCACGGCAGGTGCTAATTTCTCTTCTCTCCCCCCCACCTTTTGCCAGGTGGAAACAGAGTCCAATGTTCTCCAGGACGGCTCCCTCATCGACCTCTGCGGGGCCACGCTCCTCTGGCGCACTTCGGAGGGCCTCCTGCGCACCCCGACTTTGCAACAGCTGGAGGTGCTGCGCCAAGAGATCAACGCCGCCCGGCCCCAGTGCCCGGTGGGCTTCAGCACCCTGGCCTTCCCCAGCCTGGCTCAGCGGGGCGTGGTGGAGAAGCAGCAGCCCTGGGTCTACGTCAACTGCGGCCACGTCCACGGCTTTCACAACTGGGGGTTCCGTAAGGAGAAAGGGGGCCTGGAGCGCGAGTGCCCCATGTGCCGGCGGCTGGGCCCCTACGTGCCTCTCTGGCTGGGCTGCGAGGCCGGGCTGTATCTGGACGCCGGACGGCCCACCCACGCCTTCTGCCCCTGCGGCCACGTCTGTTCTGCGAAGACTGTCCAGTACTGGTCACAGATCCCACTGCCGCACGGCACCCACGCCTTCCACGCTGCCTGCCCCTTCTGCGGCACCTGGCTGACCGGCCAGCAGGGTTTCGTCCGGCTCATTTTCCAGGGACCCCTCGATTGAGCTGGAAAGGTGGGGGGGCAGCACGGCCCGCCTGACGTGGGGAGACGGGGAACAAACCACGACCTCCGTTGGGCCGCCGTGGACCGCTCAATCTCGTCATTTGATTGTATTAGACTGTGCATCGGCCGGACGGCCACCGCATCTCTTTCCCATCCGAGCATTTGGGGGGGGGGATTGGATTCCAATTTGGGGAGACAGATTCTCCTCGGTCTGCCTCCCCGTCCTCACCCCTCCCCGTGGCCCGGTTGTTCCCTTCCCGTCTAGAACCCGTCTTCGCTGCTCCGAGAAGCAGAGGTTGGCACCAACCCGGGACAGCTGGGATTCTGAATTGGGACTGCGTCGTTTTGGGGTGCAGGGGCTACGAAAGCCAGCCGATTATCTTCAAACAGGGTATGAATCGACAGAGGAAACTCGAATCAAAACTCCGTTGCTTGGGCACTGTAGGCGATCTGCACACTGCCGTTGCGATTTCTTTAACCCAGGTTTAAGGGCGTTGTGTGAACCCAGCCTAGATCCGCGTTTGGATCGGTGGGGGCCCAGGAGAGCTTTGCTGTTGCTAACACAGAGATATATATATATATATCCATTATACTGTGTGGGTCTCTTATTTGTGTTCGGTTTGAGATTTTCTCCTGCCTTTATTTTATACAACTCAAGGTGGCATACATAAGGAGCTTCCTTGTAGCGGCCCCACCACAATCCTGCGAGGTGGGTGGCTGGCTGAGGAATTCTGGGAGTTGAAGTCCACAAGTCTTAAAGTTGCCAAGTTTGAAGACCCCCCTGGGTTAGGCTGAGAGAGGGGGATATCCATCCCTCTCAAAGCATGCTGGCTAAGGAATCCTGGGAGTTGTTCAAGTCCACCCATCTTAAATCATGCTGGCTGGGGAATTCTGGGAGATGAAGTCCAACCCCCTTAAAGCATGAAGTTTGAAGTAACCCACATTGACTTGTGGCTTCCCACAAAAGCTTGCGGCTTCGAAGCAGCCCCTAAACCAGAGACCATCTATAAGTTGGGGGTCATTGCCAGACTTTTTGGTGGGTCTATCTAACAAGAGATTGCTATCCCTTGTGCAAATATGAAAGAAAAAAGAAAGAAGGAAAATGGGAAGAAGGAAGGAAAATCAAGGAAGGAGACAATGAAACGGAAGGAAAAGAGGACAAGAAGGGAATGGAAGAAAAACCAGAGTGGGAGGAGGGGAGGAGAGGAAAAGGGAAGGGAAGGGAAGAAAGAGGGAGGGAGAGAGGGGAAAGGAAGGAGAATGGGAGGGGAAAAGGAAGAAAAAATGGGAGGGAGGAAAGAATTGGAGAGAGGGAAGGAAGGAAGGAAGGAAGGAAGGAAGGAAGGAAGGAAGGAAGGAAGGAAGGAGAATGGGAGGGGAAAAGGAAGGAAACAATGGGAGGGAGGAAAGAATTGGAGAGAGGGAAGGAAGGAATGAAGGAAAAAATGAGAAGGAAGGAAAAAAGGAAGGAGAGAATGTGAGGAAAGGAGGCAGGGAGCGAGGAAGCAAGAAAAGAAAAGATAATAAGAAAAGAGGGAGGGAGGAAGAAAAGGAGAAACAATCATAAAAAGAGCCAGAGAAAATCAAGAAAGCAAGAAAAAAAAAAAATCGAACCAAACAGGAAAAAGAAAAGGCGGATCTTCGGTCTCCAAGCAACGCCGCTATCAAGCCTCATTGGCTGCATGCTTCCGGGGGCGAGGGCGTGCCCACCCGATCGCAAGAGCCGAATGGCGGAACCGAGCAGGGGGCGTGGCAGGAAGTTGGAAGTCGCGCGAGCAGGCGAGCCGCAGGTGAGGAGGACCTCGAGCGGAGCGGAGCCGCGAGCGGCGGACACGTGGGCGCGGAGGGCTGGTGGGTGCGGGAGTCGTGGGAAGGGGAGCACACGTGTAACCTGCATTAGGGGGGAAGAGGGGGGGGGCATCCTCGAAGCCGGTGTCAGGTTCCCCAAAGGTTCAGGAGGGGTTGCCGCGTGGGAACCCTGCGGCTGCAGCCCAGCTCATTTAAAAAGCAAGTTTCTGGTCCTCATGTTTTCGAAGGGAGGAAGGGTTACCGTCCGAGGAAGCTGGCTGCTCCTGAACCTTGGAGCGCCTGATTTAGCATGGCCAGCCCTGTCTGGCAAGGGCTTTCCAGCCTTTTGGAAAGGCAGTTCCTTCCCCACCCCTACCTGGAAATGGCCGGGAGGGAAGGGGAGAGGAGGACTCTCGGGATACGAAGCAGGGCTCAGCCTGCCCCTCCAAAGCCATAAAAAGTGCCCCCGAATGATTGCCCCTCTTCAGGTAAAAAGCTAGAATGTGAATATATGGGTTTGGTGTTTCCCCCCCTTCTTTTTCAGATTTAGAGCAACAGATTTTATGTCTGGCAGTTGCTGCTTGAATTCAGGAAGAATCTGAGGTATTGGGGATGTATTAAGGAAAGAGGGGCCCTTCCTTCCTTCCTTCCTTCCTTCCTTCCTTCCTTCCTTCCTTCCTTCCTTCCTTCCTTCCTATCTCTCCTTCCTTCCTTCCTTCCTTCCTTCCTTCCTTCCTTCCTATCTCTCCTTCCTTCTTTCCTTCCTTTCTCTCCTTCCTTCCTATCTCTCCTTCCTTCCTTCCTTCCTTCCTTCCTTCCTTCCTTCCTTCCTTCCTTCCTTCCCCTCCTTCATTTATTGATTTTTATCCTGACTTTCTTTTATTTATAAATAACTCAACTGCAAACAAACGCACTTTCCTCTTCCTATTTTCCCCACAACAACCCTGTGAGGTGGGATGAATTGGAGGGAGGGACTGGCCCAAAGTCACCCAGCTGGCTTTCATGCCTAAGGCGGGACTAGAACTCACCGCCTCCTGGTGATTGGCCCAAAGTCACCCAACTGATTTTCATTTCAAAGGCAGGACTAGAACTCACCGTCTCCTGGTGATTGGCCCAAAGTCACCCAACTGGCTTTCAAGGGTAAGGCGGGACTAGAACTCACCGTCTCCTGGCGATTGGCCCAAAGTCACCCCGCTGGCTTTCATGCCTAAGGCGGGACTAGAACTCACCGTCTCCTGGGGATTGGCCCAGAGTCACCCAGCTGGCTTTCATGCCAAAGGCAGGACTAGAACTCACCATCTCCTGGGGATTGGCCCAAAGTCATCCAGCTGGCTTTAAAGCCTAATGTGGGACTAGAACTCACTGTCTCCCAGTTTCCAGTCCGATGCTTTAACTACTAATCCAAATGCTCTCTTTGTAATAAAGATATTTTTATAAGAGAGTACCTACCGTGACTGGGCTGAAGGACGATGTCTCAGACTTCCTCTTTTCCAGGTTGACGTCATGGTGGACTCCCACTACGTTTTACCCAACGACATTGGGATTGCGACCTTGGAGTGCGCCGAAGCTTTTGAGCTGTTGTCGCCGGAAGAGAAACACTATGCTCATTACTTGTCACGAGCTTGCTGGTATGGGGGACTCGTGGTCCTCTTGCAAACGTCCCCGGAATCTCCCACCATTTACGTCCTCCTCTCCCGCATCTTCCGAACCCAGGACCCAAGTCAGTTGCAAGAGGTGGCCCGTTCGCTCGGCATCACAGATGACGAATATCAGGTAATCAGTCAGTCAGAATAGAACCAGAAGGGACCTTGGAGGTCTTCTAGTCCAGCCCCCTGCTCAAGCAGGGGACTGTCCAGCCTCTTCTTAAAGACTCCCAAAGATGAAGCATCTACAAATTCTGGAGGCAAGCTGTTCCACTGGTTAATGGTTCTCACTGTTAGAAAGTTTCTCCTTAATTCCAGGTTGCTTCTCTCCTTGATTAGTTTCCATCCATTGTTTCTTGCCTTCTGGTGCTTTGGAGAATAGGTTGACTCCCTTTTCCTTGTGGCAGCCCCTCAAATACTGGAATACTGCTATCATGTCTCCCCTATTTCTTCTTTTCTCTAGACTAGCCAAACCCAAATCCTGCAGCCGTTCCTCATATGTTTTAGTCTCTAGGCCTTTAATCATCTTAATTGCTCTTCTCTGCTCTTTGTCCAAAATCTCAACATATTTTTTTTTTATGTGACCAAAACTGGATGCAGTATTCCAGGTGTGGCTCCATTAAGGCTTTATAAAGCGGTACTAATACTTCATGTGATTTTGATTCTGTGCTTCTGTTTATATAATCAAGGATTATATTAGCTTTTTTGGCTGCTGCCTCATATTTAAGTGATCATCCACTGGGACTCCAAGGTCCCTCTCATAGTTATTGTTATGAGCCAGGTTTCCCCTAATCTGTATTTGTTCCTTCGGGTTTTTCTTGCCTAAGTTTAAATGTGACAATAAGTGTCACATTGTTGGATAGGGCCCATTGTTCAAATCTGTCAAGATTCTTCTGGATCCTGAGCTGAGGTGTTGGCTATTCCTGTCAGTTTAGTGCAGGGGTTGGCAACCTTGGCTCTTTTATGACTTGTGGACTTCAACTCCCAGAATTCCTGAGCCAGCATGGCTCAGCTTGGAAATCTCTCCCTTTCCCCTCAGCGTGGCTGGCTCAGGAATTCTGGGAGTTGAAGTCCACGAGTCATGAAGGGGCCAAAGTTTCCCTCATGCTGGCTCAGGAATTCTGGGAGTTGAAGTCCACCAGTCATAAAAGAGCCAAGGTTGCCTACCTCTGGCCTAGGCCGCTTTACGACTCGTGGACTTCAACTCCCAGAATTCCTGAGCCAGCATGGCTCAGCTTGGAAACCACTCCCTTTCCCCTCAGCATGGCTGGCTCAGGAATTCTGGGAGTTGAAGTCCACGAGTCATAAAAGAGCCAAGGTTGCCTAGCCCTGGTTTAGTGTCACCTGCCAATTTGACGACGTCCCCTTTTATTCCCTCATCTAAGTCATTTATGACGATATGGAAGAGGCCTGGGCCTAAGATGGCACCTTGTGGTAAAGTCCTGGAGATTGTTTATCTTTCTTTACCCGTTTGTCGATGCAAAAACTTTTGTGATTTTTTTTTTTTGATTGTTGCTGTCTGTTAAAAATTAAGGCAAACAAAATGGACTTCTCCCTTGCAGGCCTTTCTGGTTTACACAGCGGCCATTTATGCCAATATGGGCAACTACAAGTCCTTCGGCGACACCAAATTTGTTCCCAACCTTCCCAAGGTGAGCGTGGAAGGAAGACTGCGGGGTGGGGTCAGCATTTGAATTTCTGCCTTCCAGCCAATTGGAAAGCTCCTTGGCCTTCATTGGCTGAGAGGTTGATGGAGGAGGGGGTGGAGTCCTGGCAGTGGCTCCACCCCTCTTGGGCCTTCAGCATTTTTTTTCTCATTGTCATTTTTATTCAGCTCCGTTTTGATTTCTTCATTTTCTTTTTCTTTTTTTAATTTTCATTTTGTTTCAGTTTTGATTTTTTTTCCTTCCCTTTTTCTTTTCTCGCGTTTCCTTTAGTTTTTGATATATATATTTTTAAAAAATTCTCACTTTCAGTTTGGTTTTCTTTTTAGCTTTCGTTTTATTGTCGTTTCTACTTTCTTCCGTTCTTCCTTGTCTCCTCTTTATTTGTATTTTATTTCATTTTTTTTCCCCTCCCCGTTGTTAGTTTTGGAGTTCTTTTGTTTTCATTTGGGTTTTTTTTCCAGTTTCAGTTTGGTTTTCTTTTTCTGTCATTTTTCCCTCTTCGTTTTTTTTTTTTTATTATTTTCGCTTTGATTTATATTTTGTTTCTTCCCCCCCCCCCTTAGGAAAAACTGAAGCAGCTGGTGTGGGCGAGCCAGGCGTTTTTGCAAAACCCGGAAGAGATGGAAGCTTTGTGGGAGAGCTGCGGGAAGTTGATGTACTCCCTGGAGCCCCTCCAGAGGCATTTGGGGCTGAGTGGCGAGGTATTTATTGCCCTCGTGCCCATCTCAGCCCCATTTCTGGGGGGGGGGGGAAATTGGCCGTTTGGGCTTTGGGACCGGGCTCTGACATCCACACCTAGAACTATTGAGGTACTTCTCCGTTTTTTTCCTTGTTTTTAGGGAGTTTCCACCTACTTCTCTGCAAGTTGCTCCATGGAAGATGCGAAGCTGGCTCAGAAATTCCTGGATTCTCAGGTGCTGCTGGAATTC